TGCAAGAGCGTTAACAAATTAGGCCATCAGTGTTACGTCAGACCGGTAATACAGACCCCCGTGGAAAAAAATATTCTATTCATTTCTTACGATTTTCAAACACAGCAGATACAGAAGCTGCCCGGTGACGACACGGTACGCATCCACACACCAAACTTGTGTGTCGTTCAGCAAATGTGCACAGCATGCATAAACGATACAGATCTCGCGGGGGTATGCCCATCTTGCGGTGTACGCGAGTATGTGTTCGAAGAGGATCCCGTAAGGCAGTTTGTAGGTTACGCGTGCGATCGTAAAAGAAAATCGTTTCAGAGAGTGATCTGTGTGGCGCATAACGCCAAGGGTTTCGACGCGCAGTTTATACTGAAACATATCGTGAAGCGTAAGCGGAAAACTTTAAAACCACCGACGCTGATACTCAGTGGCACGAGTATCATAATGATGAAGACAGGTCGTGTAACATTCATAGACAGTCTTAATTATTTTCACATGCCTCTGAGTGGCCTGCCAAAAGCCTTCGGTCTCGTGGGCTCTGCTGGTTTGAAACAAAAAGGTGTCTTTCCGCATCTATTCAATACTCCCGAGAATCAGCACTATATCGGTCCTCTACCGCCACTCGAGTTTTATTCGCCCGATACGATGCCGACGGCTCAACGTGTTCAATTCCTAGCGTGGTATAACGAGCAACGGTCTGCGGGCTACGTATTTGACTTTCGAACATAGTTTATTGATTACTGTAGATCCGACATCACCATCCTCAGACAGTTATGCGTTTCTTTCCGCGCAAAGTTTCTACAATTCCGCGCAATGTTTCTCCAGCACGGTAGCGTTTATCGTTTCTCGGAGAGCACCACTATAGCCTCAGCGTGTTCAAGAGTTTTTAGAAAAAACTTTTTGCGGGACGAGCAGATAGCCATTTTACCACCGGGCGGATACCGCTACTGCGAGAAACAATCACGTAAGGCGCTGTTATGGCTCCTTTCGCTGGAGCACCGTTGGGGTTGTACTATAGTTCACGCAGGGCGCACTCGAGAGTACCGTCTACCGGAGGGTACGCCCGTCGACGGATACTACCACGACGCCTATGCATGTATGAATGTATGTATTTATTTTATGTATGTTTGTACGTATGTATGTATGTATGTATGTATGTATGTATGTA